CATGCCCGCTCTCAGCCATGCGCCATGCCCGCTCTCAGCCATGCGCCATGCCCGCTCTCAGCCATGCGCCATGCCCGCTCATCCAACTGAGCTAAATGTGACTTTGGGGATTGTAACCAGGTGTCAGAAAGGCCTGTGGCGGCCAAGCGCTCGTAGCGACATCACTGTTTGAGTCTTGCTATCATTGTGAAGCCGGATTCACCAAGTGTTCGCCCCCTCATAGGGAACGTCATCCGATGATGCGTTGTTGCAATAGTAATCGTGCTCAGGACAAGAGGAACTGCAGACGCTGGGTGCTTGGCTGAGGAGCCAATGGGGCGAAGCTGCCACCTGTGAATGTCGTCTTTGATTGCTCAGGTAGAAAGTTGTACAATACAAGTCAAACTGCACCCAGATCAGTTTCACACCCTGGCGGATCTGTGAGTATAACCTGCAGCAGCTTCGTGTCTGTGACACAGAGCAGCAGAAACCTGAGGAAATGTCACCAACTGCATTCTGGGTAACCTCTCAGGCTTCACCATGTGAGCCCGGGCGAGTCCCGGTGTGTGACGCTGCTTCTGTTTTCAGTTCTTAGGAGCTCCCGGGTTCAGCCAGCTGATTTTCCCCGACTTCCTCTTTGTGGTGTCCGAGCTTCTCTCTTTTCATTTTCCTTTAAACTCTCCTCAAAACAGCTCAGCACCTACAAAAGGCCTCCTTTGTACCACAGTGCTGTGCAGAAGTCATCTCCTTACATGTTGCTGTGACTTTATCGATTTATTCAAACATACATGGAAATATCAGCCAATAGCAGAGTTTATACAACTCTAACCAGCTGTAAGTAAATATTTGTTGTTATTCTCAAGGGTTCGGATTCAGGATCGTTGGATTCTGGGGGTCTAACATTCAGGGATGTTGATGCGTTCGTGCTCACTGTCTACTCGTTATGAAATCGTAGCCACTCCTCTTAGACAGCTGATGTAACTTCTGCTTTCATACGTCACTTTTGTGGTCTAACGGACTTAGAGTGCAAAAAGCGCCAAACAGCGAGACACACCAGAGACGACGAGACGCCTGACGGTGAGTCCACGCCTGTCTGTCTGTGTCTGGTCTTTGTTTCATGGGGAAAGCGGCGAGCTGCAAACTTTGATTTCCGAGCGCAGTGTAAAGATGTTTTTCACTTCATCATTAACCATCCCATAATAGTCTAGTTGTGAGCAGATCTCAGATCGCCTCACCACAGACTCTGAGATTTCAGATGATGTTTCTGGTTTTAGTGGTTCTAACAGGCACACGACGATGAATAACTGCTCGTACTGCAGCACTTTTAATTTCTCTTTGCTATTTGGGACCCGATGAATGTAAAACACAGAATGACCAGATTTGTGTTTCTGGGAAAAATGAGATCCACATATGAGGACTTTCATTTTACATTTCAATAGAACAGTAGCAGCATAATGTCCTGTAAGTGGATATCAGGCTCCTGTAGAGCAAAATTTAGTATTTTGGTCTAAGTAACCCAAAATGTGACGTCCACATATGTGGACGCAGGTCCTAGGAGGACCAGGAGATTTGTGACTCACAGACACGTCTGGAGAATTTAAAGTACTCTGGGATCAGTAAAATTATTAATACCACAGTCTTAAATGACCCAAACACTCAAAGTTAGGTACTCTGTGTGCAGACCTATGTGAGACGAAGAGCTTAAACTTTAAAGTGGTCAAACCAAGGACTCATTTTTATGCCTGAAACATTCAAACAGTCGAGTTTTCAGTGTTTGAGCACGTGATCCGCTTTAATCCTCAGCTTCATTTAAAGAAACGAGTTCTTTAATGTCTG